GCTCAACCGACTGAGACACCCCGGCGCCCCAATAATGAAAACTTTTAAAATATTGGGAGTATTAACAATATGTGACACAGAGAAATAAAGTGAGCAAATGATGTCGGAAAAATGGCACCAACTGACTGACCCAGGGTTGCCACAAACCTTCAATTTGTAAAAAATGTGATATTAGCGAAGTGCAATAAAACGAGGTATGCCTGTTCTTGGACATTAACCCTAAAGAAATAATGTTGCAAATACTAGTGCTTAATCTTTCATACCCATGTAATGTTTCCAAAGTTCTGAGCAGAAAATCAGTGGTATCCAGGAAAAGGAAGGCAGCCTCCTTCAGAGTGCCACCAAGTACACTAACCCAAGACTCAGTCACTTAAGGCAAGAAGTATTTATTTAGTTCTTGAGCGTGAAAGGCGATGATTTAGGCTGAGTTCTAGTAAATGTCTAGTATGGCCAACTCAGAATCACGGGGCAGAAGAAGAGGACTCTAGGTGATCCTGGGATGAGCTGTAAAGTCACCTTGCAAAGGACATGGTTACAAGGAGGAGTGCCAAACGGGAGTCATTAACACAGTCACTCTGTTTTATTCTCTTGCCCTAAAATAATTCCACAATTTGATGTAGGTACATTTTAGAGGTTCAATAACCACATGTGGCTAATGGCTACCGTGTTGGAGTGTACAATTCTACTGTCATTGACCTCCTTGCAATTCTTCAAACCTGCCAGACATTCTTCTGCCTCAGGGCCTTTGCACTTTCCCTTACCTCTGACTGAAACTCTCCTCTTCAGATGTGTATATGGATCACTCTCTCACCTCCTTTGGTTCAAATTTCACCTTTTCAATGATGATTTCTTTGTCCTATTTTAAATTGCAGCCCCTATCTCCTGGCACTTTCTTCCCTGCCATACTTTTTCATGGTGTTTATCGCCATCTGGAATGTTATATATTTTAATTAGTTACTTGTTTATTATCTGTATTCCTCCACTATAATGTAAGCTCCATAGGGACTGGCATATTTTTGCTTGTTTAATCCACTGCTGTATCCGACAGTGCCCAAAGCAATACTTGGCATGTAGTAGGTACTCAACAAATATTTGTTGAATAAATTCTAGCTTTCCCATGCCTTTCTGCAAATATTATATAAAGAAAAGAGTCAGTAGAATCTGTTACAATAAATTATAATTGTTTCAGGCTTAGGGGGAGAATCTCAAGAATGCCAAAGAACAGGTTTATCTACAAAAAGTCGTATTTCCAGTCTTCCTAACATGAGAGATCAAAAGCAGGATTTTATACCTTAATTGGAGTTGAATGAAAAAAAAAGATATCCTGAGCAGCCCAAACTGGGCCCCAATTTACCCATTTTTTTTTTTAAGATTTTATTTATTTATTTGACAGAGAGAGAGACAGCTAGAGAGGGAACACAAGCAAGGGGAGTGGGAGAGGGAGAAGCAGGCTTCCCGCTGAGCAGGGAGCCCGATGCGGGGCTCCATCCCAGGACCCTGGAATCATGACCTGAGCCGAAGGCAGGCGCCTAACGACTGAGCCACCCAGGGGCCCCTAATTTACCCATTCTTGCCCAGATCTTTAGTGCTAGAAGATAATTTTCCATCCAGCAAAAAGTGAATGGTTGTTATCTAGTTTGTCTTATATACACTTATCTCTAAGTTTCACCCTTTGGGTGCAAACCAACATTTCTGTTTCAGTCATTTGAATACGTGGGTCCTAAAAGAACAGCTATACTCTTTATTTCTATTTGTCTGATTGGTCAGTAATTCTCCCATTGTTTTGATTGTTTTACTGGTCCCTTGGTGTCTCCTTAAAGTGGCAAGTCATCCTAAATCAGCTCCTTAGGTAACCTTTGGGCATTCATTTTTCTGTATGTCTCCAAGTAAAGCCATATGTGAGTTAATAAGCATAGTTTAGGATTATGCCAGTTTAACTTTCATTTATTTATTTATTTTTAAAGATTTTATTTATTTATTTGAGAGAGAGAGAGCATGAGATGGGGGAGGGTCAGAGGGAGAAGCAGACTCCTTGCTGAGCAGGGAGCCCGAAGTGGGGCTCGATCCCAGGACTCTGGGATCAGGATCTGAGCCGAAGGCAAGTGCTTAACCGGCTGAGCCACCCAGGCACCCCTAACTTTAATTTATTAATCAAATATTTATTGAGCTCCTAGTATATGTCAGGTATTGTGCTATCTCATGTAGCATTAAATCAGATAGACATGGATCTTGTTCCCAAAACTTAAAATCTACTTGGCAAGACAGAAAATTAAACAATTAATTACAATAAAGATTAAGAATGATGAGAGAGCATACAGTGACCTACTCTAAATTGGCTTTTTGAGCATTTTTACATACAATAAAACTCACCAATTTCAGTGTACTGTTTGATGAATTTTGACAAATGTTTACAGTTGTGTAACCACTGCCATAATCAAGATAATTTTCATCACCCCTAAAAGCTTCCTCATGCCCCTTTGTAGGCAATCTCATCCCTCCCATTCATCCCCAACTCCTGACAATCACTTATCTGCTTTCTATTACTATAGTTTTGTCTTTTCTAGAATTTTATATAGTGGGCACACATAATATATGTAGTCTTTTGTGTATGAAAGATGAGATTCATCCACATATCAATAGCTTGCTCCTTTTTATTGCAGAGTAGTATTCCACTATGTAAATATACTACAATTTGTTTATTCATTCACCAGTTGGGCTGTTTACAGTTTGGCACTATTACAAATAAAGTTTCTATGAGCATTTTGTACAAGTCTTTGTACATATGTTTTTATTTTCTCTTGGGTAGATACCTATGAATTTAATTACTGAATTGTATGGTATAAGAAATTGCTAAGTTGTTTTCTAAAGTGGCTGTAGCATTTTGCATTCCCACCAGCAAAGTGTGAGGGTTCCAGTTGTTTTGTATCTGCACCAACACTTGTTATAGTTAGTCTTTTAAACTTTGCCCACTCTAGTAGGTGCGTAATGTTACCTTACTGTGTTTTGATTTGCATTTCCCTAATAACTAATTATGTTGCTCATCTTTTTGTGTGCTTAATTGCCATCTATAGATCATCTTTGGTAAAGTGGCTGCTCAAATATATTGCCCATTTAAAAAATGTGCGTTGTTTGACTCCTTATTATTGAATTTAAAGGGTTCTTTATATATTCCAGATTAAAGTCCTTTGTCAGATATTTGTTTTGCAAATATTTTATACCCATTTCTGGTTTAACTTTATTTTGTCAACAGTGTCTTTTCACGACAGAAAGTTTTAATTTTGATGAAGTTCAATTTGTCAATTTTGTAGTGGGTCTTGATTTTCGTGTCCTATCAGAGTTACAAAGATTTTCTCTTATATTTTCTTCCGTAGCTATTATAGTTTTAGGTCTTACATATTCTATGTAATCATGATTTTTTTACACGATTTTTACATCTCTGAAATTAATAACATTGTCTGAAAAGAATAGACATGGAAAACTGGAGGGAAATTATTCAGCCCTTTATAAAACACACCATTATTCTCTAGGTCCCAGGTTTGAATTTGGTATTTTAGGAAATACTGTGTCTAATTTACTTGTGATATGACGACTTTCTTGATTTAGACTTCTATTTGTTATCAACAAGAGAGCAAAACCAATGTGACCTGTCAGTGTTCAGTGATTAGTTCCCTCATCTGGAATGTGCTTTCTTTTTATGAGAGGGGAAGGGAAACACCACTCTCACCTCTCATCCAAAACACTGTTTGTGCCTTTGCCCCTTTACCTGGGATTGAATTGCAAAACTCACAGTCTTCACTAGACTACAAGCTGTTCAAGGTCAAGACCTAGGTCTTATTTTGTATTTCTGTTTGAGATGTAATTCAGTAATTGTTTTGTGAATGAAGGGAGGATTTCCTGGGTCTCTGCTGTTCTGCTGGTGTCTGGAAGGTACCAGGCAGTTTGTTATAATGTCCAGTCCTCACAAATTTGACTTTAGAGAAAAATGATCCCATCTCAGTATTCCTAGAGCTTAGCACGGTGCTTGCCATACAGGAGAGAAGGGCAAAGAGATGGGAAGAAAATTTGTACAAATCCCACTCCACCATTTATGACTTGAAGCAGGGAAACTGGGCAACCTTCAGGTGTAACTTAAGGTGAAAACTATTCAAGATAGACTCCCAATGCCTCCTGGGCAACAGCGCCAATATCTTTGGGCTAAGTCCCTCACTTGGAATCTTTGGGGCTTGCGCGGACCCACGATTCCCTAGTAGGAGAATGCTGAGAAGCCTGAAACCTTGAGTCTGAGGCTTTAGGGGACTCAGAACCCATTTGCTACTTGCACATGAGCCCTGGTTGCCTAGCAACTTTGGGTCGATAGCTCGACGCTCGACGCAATCCGACCAGCCTGAGACGCGGCGCTCCCGGCGGAGCCTCTCGCAGCCAGGCAACCTCGGGCCCGGGTCCCCGGGGTGCGCACGCGCAGAAGGGGCTCGGCTGGGGGAGGGGCGCCGGAAGGCAGGCGCCGCTAGCGGGCCAGGGCGGGGAGGGGCGCACGCACGAGGGGCGGAGCGGCAGGGCTCCGAGTGGCTGAGGAGCCGGAAACGCGCCTTGGAGGGTGCGGCCCTGAGGAGACGGCAGGCTGGGCCGGGCCGGGCCGGGCCGGGCGGGAAACGTTAGGCCGGCGGCCCCCGTGGCGCGGGGGCCGAGCGG